ACACACACACACACACACACACACACACACACACACACACACACTGGTCTGCCTGCTCCTCTGCTGCTGTTTGTCTTGTAGAGGATGTTTGGAAGGTGCTGGGGCAATTATAGTAACCTATTAAATAATGATGAACAGCATGCAGATGACAGATGCTCACTTCATTGTAGGAAAGTGTGTGTGTCTGCTTGTGTCTGCTTGTGTCTGTGTGTGCGTGTGTGTGCGTGTGTGCGTGTGTGCGTGCTGGCATGGCAGGGAGACATGAAACAGAATCCAGGGTTTGGGTGCCTGCTCTCACTCACCCAGTAATTAGGTTAATGCAACAGAAGTCCTAATTTGTGTTGGCCTTTTTAGATATGTGTGTGTCTTTCTATCTGTATGTTTGTATGTGTGTGTCACATTGTGTGAGCATTGAGGCGTGACATCTGTGTCAGATGGAAGACTTACCAGCTTCTACAGTTACCCCCAGCGACATCACCTCAGGCCCCCATCACCATCATCATTAGCCGTGCTGTGGATACCTTGTGGTAGTTTCCAATACATGCTGGAAATCCTGCAGCAAGCTCTCACCCCTCACTGATACTTATCAACTCAACTCAAGTATCTGCAGCATTTATTCCAGTCTTTTTTAGAGCAGTTGATTGAACAGAGAGCTAAAGGAGCAGAAACCTACATACCCCTCTGTTAGCTGAGTTATGTGCAATTAGGTTTTCAACACTGTCTCTAAGCATCACATTCTCCATGTCTCAGGTCTATACGAACAAATAAACATCTGTACTACACAAGGATCTTCATAGTTTCTGCAGCTATTACACACGGAAGCAACAGTTGTTATTGAAATACTAGAACTGTTTCGATCTGCACCAGACACTCTTAAGTATCGCTCCCCGAATGTCTGATTTCATGAAATCAACAAAAACATTGAAAAACGCCCGGTCTCACAACGTTAAAGAAAATAAATCCTGGATCCTCACTGGAAATTTGATGGGGTTTTTACTTGGGCCACGCCCCGACCCTCCACAAACATTTCATAGAAATCATTTGAGTAGTTTTTGTGTAATCCTTTTAAATAAACAAACACTGATGAAAACATAACCTCGTCTGGAGGAGTTAATAAAATATATGTCTTATACAGGGATGTTAATAATTCACTGCTTCTGCAGCTGTTACACACAAAATCAACAGTTTCTATCAAAATTATCAATAGTATACTTTATGTTTCAAATACTTAGCATGTCCCTGGTTAATAAAATACACAAGCCCCACACAGCGTATACTATATTTCAAATGTATTCAAGAAATACTATAGACCAATCTTCATAGTAAAACGTTTAAATGGTAAATGGTTTGTATTTATATAAGATGAAGAGGAGTTTGGGCAGTTAGTCGCTGCCAGTGAAATACCACAAACTAATGTTGCTAGGTTTTAGTTTTTTCTGTTTCTGATCTGTTCCCAGATCAGTTTTTTTTTCCAGCATCAGCAATTAGTTTTAATTTGTTGCAGATGAATGTCACAGTCAGTTAAATTTGACATGGAGAGAGCATTAGTGCATCGCTTCATGACGCAATATATTCCACAGCAGATTTTAGTCATAGCGAAAGCACAGGTGTTACTGCTAACATTAACAATGGCCAGCATGTACGACGGCAGCACACTGAGACAGAAGAGGTCAATGGAATCCAGCCATTATCAAGCATTTTTACTGCGACATTTCAAAATGTTCACTGTGAAGGCCTTTTAATGTTAATCAACAGTGTGTATACCGACGTTTAGTCACTTCTTTAGTGTTTGACAAACTGATAAGGTGCATGGAATCAGGATGTGGCTATATGACACCTGATGAAAGCATAGATGTTGTTCCTGTGCATCCAGCGTGTCCAGCAGTGAATGATATGAATCAAAACTTCAATCTGCCTCAGGTCAGTTCAGACGAAGACGTTGCTTCAGAAGGCTCGAAGATTCTCTCAGTCACAGCAGCGTTAGATGTTTGAGCCCCGACTAGTTTAACGTAATATTTCTCAGCTGAAGTGGCGCCTGCGTCATGTTTTTCAGCTCATACACAGCACAGTGTGTAGTGTACTGCAGGCAGACGGACAGCAGGCAGCAACTTGAGCCTGCAGCCTCCCTCAGGCTTGTGGGGATCAGATGTCCACCGTCAGAGATCACAGCTCCCATTGTGTTTACCTCAGAGACTCCCCTCCTCTTCATCCTCCCAGTGCTCCCTCTCTCTCGCTCTGTTTACCTCAGAGAGCCTCCAGCCCCCCCTTCTGCTCCTCTTCCTCTACGCTGACATCACCTGTCTGTCTCACCTTTCTGACATGTTTGTGTTCAGAGGACAGATCCAAACATATCCAGTTCAAACACACTTTCATCATGTGGTCTCACTAACAACGAAAAATGAAATGTTTTATCGACATTGCTCATCATTTGTAGATTAAAATAATAACTCAGATTATTTTACTTTTTAATCGCTGTATTAACTCTCAACCCTTATAACAGTATTCTTTAAATGTAATCATTCAATTTCCTGTCAATATTTCATATTACTACTAATATTACTATTTTCACCATACAAAGCATTGTAAATGAGATGGAATGTTTTAATCTTACTAGTACTCAGTTAAACTATAGTACATTATATGATGATTGCATATAATACATTGAGAATAATCCCTAATCTTAATCATTCAGCTGTGCATAAGCATTCCAAGGTTATTATGCACATCTCTCTGTTATGCATTGCAAACAAATGATGCACTAAATAACTGAAGGAAGCCGTTTATCCACCCGGAGACCAATGTAAATAGATTTTCCGGCAAATAAACTTCATCAGAACTTCTGTTGTTAAAAAGGATTGTAATTAGCAAGCTAACGGCACAATGTCTGAGTGTCTGAGATACGACCATATCTCAATTCTCCTCTCCACTTTTTGTCCTTGCCTCTCACACTCTAGATATGGAGTCTGCAATTAAGACATTGGTGACCACTTTTATCACTTCTGCCAAGGGTAAGGAAAACCTAGACGGCAAATCATTCCAGAAGATGGTGAGGTCACAGCTCGGCTCCATCATGGAGGTAAGGACCTGCAGGTTTTTTTTCCTGCAGACTTTTTGAAACAAATGATCCAAGAAAGAGTTTTTACTATGCAATAATTCCTGTTTGTGTGTGTCTTGTTCAGGACACAGGCAGCACCTCTGCCGTTAAGGAGATGCAGAATGGACTGGACGAAAACAGCGATGGGAAGGTCAGCTTCCAGGAATACCTCACGCTGATTGGCTACGTTGCCAACAGCCTCAGTCAGCGCCAGTGTGGATCCCCCACGGACGCATCGTAGATGCTTGTGAAGCCGCTGTGTTCGATGGATTTGCAAATGATCCGCCTTTGCTCTCTCTTTTCTGCACCTTTTCCATATCTTTTCTCCATTTGAATGTTCCAGCAACCATCCAGTAAACTTGTTCACAACAGTCCATAATCATCTTAACTTACTTAAATCTAAGTGAATCTAAGTAAATCTTAAGTTGTGTAACGCTCTGAACTTGAATGTCTGTCCAAGTCTATTTCTTCAGTTACATCATACTGATCTCTTCTGTCAAGGATACATTGAAGGACTCTGAGCTAGACGTGTAATTTTCATACCAGTTACACACAGGATTTCGACCATATTTTCAAAAATAAAAGCTTTATATTAAAACCACATTGTGTGTGCGTTTTCATTAGCATTTCATCAAAGAGCAACCTATTAAACCTATGGAAACCAAACACAAATGTATGCATGCAGTGGTTTTCCTGACATGGCTTGACAATGACCCACAGGCACAGCTGATACCTGATGATACCTGCTCCTTAGCTGCCAGCAACACTTGCTAAATTTAGCCGTGACAGTCAAACTCAGCAGCTTTTAGATGCACCTACCAATGAAACCAGATCCTGACAGTATACGCTTCCCATTGTGTACCATCCTCCACTCTGCAACACTATACATACATATAGACATATGGTGCATTCAAGTGTGCATACAACACTGTGCTCCCCCACTCACAGACACAACACACTGCAGCAACAAGAGGATGCTCTTATAGAGTAGATGGCAAATTCGAACATGTGTTTCAGGACATCCTGCAGCGACAGTGTTACTGCTTTAATGTTGGTCATGTTTGGTTTATAATTACGACCCTAGAGATCATTCAAGTGAACATAATTGTGTGTGTTCCTGCCATTGCCGTTGCTTTTCATTTTCTTTTCATGCCCTTTGGTTTTCACTGTATCCATTATATCGCTTTAAGTCTGATGGATAAATGACATGAAATGTTTGCTCATCCAAATGCATTTGTGGTCTGAAGTCATGTGTGTTGTGCATCCATGCTGCATGTTTTAAGGTATTTGAGAAAGTGTACGTGTGTGTGTGTGTGTGTGTCACCTTGAGTGAACATGTATGTTATTGTAAAGTCTTTGTATTAGGATTTTTCTGCATGGCTGCAAGGTGTGATGGCTCCATTCATCGCAGCAACAATAATCCTTCGGATACTGTATCAGACATGACCCGCCTCTCCTCCAATAAACATCTCACCCCGGCACTCACATACCCTCTGTGCTGATTAAAATCAGAAACATTGGGAGAGCTGTCAATGTTGCTGATCTTTGTCTCTGTACAGTATTTATTTTGGCACTCCCTTAGAGCCGTACCTTTGACATCAAGTCATAAAAATGGTTGCACAACATCATAGCAGGATAATCCGCTGTCATAATAGAAAGCTGTCAAGTAAATTATATGTCATTGTCACTGCACTGCAGCTCAATATGCTGCTGGTTGAGTGAGATTAAATCAACAATGTATGAAGTTAGAGACTCAGTCTTTCTGCCTGAACTGGTGATTCACACCCAGTAGCTGCTGAGAGATTTAACTTCCACACAAGGGAACATCTGAGAATAAGAAGAGGTTTACTGATGGCGCCAAAGATTGTGTTGTGTCTTGTGGTCAAATTAAGGCCACATCAATTTACCTAATGTCTTGCTGTAGTTACAGTACTATTAGTGCCATCTGTCAGTATGTGCAAGGAGGGGGGGGTCCTCACCTGTGTCCGCTCATAGGTGTCTGATGAGTAAATGGAGAAGGAGCAGAGGGGTGGGGGTGGGAAGGAGCAGAAGAGTGTCAGGTGGAAGGAGGGAGATGGGACGAAGGGAGAGGTAGGATGGGTGGAGTGAGGGGTGTATTTAAGACGTTGTCCCCCTCATGCTCCTCATCATCTCCATCACCTTCTCTCACTGCACCTGACCCGCTGGCCAGCACTCGTCCTCCTCCTGTCAGGTAAGAAACTCAGATAGAAGGATGCAGAAAACAGAACGCAGGACTTTTGTCAGTGCATGTTTGAGTTAACATAGAGTCTTAACAGGGCCACTGGTGCATAATGTTTATCCTGTAGGTGGACTGTGTGTAAGACAGGAACTTCTGGAACATTAAATAATCATGTTGTCTGGACGACTGCATGAAAAAAGCTTAGCAAAAAATGTATTTCTGGTAGTTTTTCTTCTCTGCTGCTCATTCATGTCAATTTGGAACACGTGACTGACAGTTAGGAACAGTCGACACAGTTCAGAGGCGATGTAGGTGGAGGAAAGTAAAAGACTTACACCTGTCTCCGGTCTTTTCTACCATCCAGCGGAGCTAAAGTAAAAGCCAGATCAGGTTGCTCTGTGTGTCATGGTTACATCTCCTCCACTGGTTCAACTGCCATACCAGCTTAGAGTTTCACTCTTATCAGCTGGCTCACATGTCCGGCCTCTGACTCCCAGAGGTTCTCTTCTCTGGGACAAAGCAGCAAAACAGATGGAGGATCTGTCTATCTGTAGAGCAATCTTATCAGGACTAGTGGCACGGAGGAAACACTCCTGATGAGGAAAAATGTTAGAGCAAACTTGACTCCGGGGCTGTGCAGGGAACTCTGACTCTGCCAAATACCTCAACTGTCACTCGATAGATATGCTTAGACACCATATGTTGGAGGCTGCTTGTTTTTCCTCATGCCTTATCTATCTGTCACTCCGTCTTGCTCGATTTTCTTAGAGAAAAAATAGTGTGTGCATGCATTTGTTTACGCCAAAGAGCATTAAATCTGCATTGATTCACAGCAGACTTGTCCTCGATGCTTGAGAGAGCAGAGTTTGCAATGACGTGGACCGCTCACGTCTTCTCCTCATCCCTTCTTTCTCTTCTCTCCGTCTCCAGAATGTCTTTGCCCAACTCAGAGAACGCCTCCACCCTGGAGAACGCCATGCAGCTCATGATCCAGACTTTCCACAAGTACTCTGGGAACGAGGGTGACAAATATACACTGAGCAGGACTGAGCTCAAAGAGATGCTTAATTCAGAGCTTGGCAACTACCTGGGGGTAAGGAGCGTGCATGTGCAGGCGTAAGAATGCAAAATGCATCACAAGCTTCATAGATACGACCTGATTTCTATTTTATACCCTCCCCCCTGCAGAATGCCCAAGATAAGGAGGCAGTGGATAAGGTTATGGGAGACCTGGATTCCAACAACGACGGGGAGGTCGACTTCACCGAGTTCATCATACTGGTCGGAGCCCTCACCGTAGCCTGCAATGACTTCTTCCTGGACTACAATGAAAAGCAAGAGAAGAAGTGAACGCCCTCGGCACGGAGACGCCCACTCTGCAAACCTGCAAGGTCCAGGGAGAAAACAGTTTGGACTGGAGAGGGGGAACATCCTGTCATGGAAGTCACATGCCACAAATACACACACACAAACACACGCACACACTAACACATACACTAACACACAACCACATGCACACACACTGTGGGTGTTTGTGTATTTGTCTGCTTTTACCCATCAATCCATTAAAAGCTGTATCATTTGCAATGTGAAAACCTGGAGAGTTTAAGTTTGTTTCAGCACCTGTCATTGTTGAACACATGAATCTCTTTTTCTCTTCATGTCATTTTGTAACACATTCCTCCCTGGAAAGAATAAATGGGACCTTTTCCCAAACAACACCATGTGGGTTGTACTTTATTACAGCAGGGACACATGACGGGCACCAGGTGGCAGCAAGTGGCCCTCGTTCGAATCTCGCAGTTGTGATTATTCCACTAACTATGGATTGAAAATAGATTTTTGTTACAATCACTGGCAATATATCAATGTAATAATACTAATGAAGTGCGTATTAGCATATTAGTGGCCCTTTGCATTCAAAGAATTTCCAATTTTACAAGAACAGGTAGTTTTCCTGTTTTCACAGCAGAATAATCAGAGCGTAGAGTGACCTTGTCTGGGTTGTACACCCATGATTGTTCAAAAGCTGTGCTTCCTAAAAGAAAAAAAGCACTACGTGAGTGTGGGCATGTGTGTGTGTGAGTGAGTGAGCGAGTGTATAAAAAGGAAGCTGCCAGCCTCAATATTAGAAAGACAGGAAATGTTTCTTTCTTTCAGGCTATCCTGTGGTGTGATTAATGGGAAGTTAGGGTACTACAGTAATTTATGGACTATAGGTTGTGCGTGTGAGTTTATCGTCTGGGTATTTGTCATGTTGTGAGGACGTAAATCTTTTAACACAGCCACATTATGGGGACAAAAATCAAGAGACCACATAATGAAGACATGATTTAAGGTTACGTTAAGGTTAGGTTCAGGTAAGAGCAGGGGTTAAATGTGGTGGAGTTAGTCAATAGTGTTTGGGTCTACTAACCCTAAGTTGACAGGAAATCAATGTAAGTCAATATGATGTCCTCTGAAGTCATGGAGCTATGATGTGTGTGTGTGTGTGTGTG